TGATATTGCACCATAAAAGGGTAGTTAGGCACGGCATAATCCCATGATTAAGCTCCTTTCAGTAGTTAAATGCCTAAGGGCTGTTTCCCAACACCAGGTGATATTTAGATGCATCCCTTTGCTTTAATAAACTAAAGATGGCTTCTATAGTGAGTGGCTCGCCCTTCCTTTATGAAGCATTGAGTTATTGCAAGTTCAGTGGCTCATGACCATGGAGAGCCTACTCCCTGCAGCTGGGAGGTTGGGGGGCAGAGGAGTGTAGCCTGCAGTGGAGCATTAACTTGCAAGCATATTAAAGTGATACTAAACCCACAATAATAAAATCAGTCTGTATATGCAGTAAAGCATGCTTGTTATACACACTGTAAAACCTGTAGATCCTCCACATTGTGTAAAAAGGATGTTTTATCCTGTCTTCTCTGATCCTCTCCTTCTTCTACTGTCCCCAATCTATCTACTGATAGAACAGAGCCTTGGGGGAAAGCTGCACATGCTCAGTTTAGTGTGTATTGCAAGGGATGTTTTTTTTTTCTTGGGAGAGTGCATGTAATCAGCACAGGGCCAATCAGCACTTTCCAGACAGAGTGTCAGGGGTCCTGTAGCCTCATAATACAGTCAGGAGAGAATGAAAACTCCTCCTACAAGCTTTAACCAGTGCTCTGCTGGACACTGATAGAAGTCACAAGATATACTGCTAATGAGAAAAGGTATTTAGCAATTTATATTTATTAAAATAATTGCACTTCCATGTTCTGTGTACTGTGGGAGCTGTGGAAGACCAGATATAGTGAATGCAGGGTCCTGGGTTTAGTCGCACTTTAATGGGTATGGCAAATTTAACATGGCATGTCGAGTTGAGAGGGGGTATTGCCTGTCAAACTTGGCAATCTGAGTTAATGGAACCATGTCACAACTGTGAGCCAAATACTTAGCTTGTGGTTGTGACGCCGTAGTTCCATTGCCAATTGCTCTTCTGCAAGAAAAAATGTAACTCCTGACAGCAGCTGCTTAGTTGCGCTCTGAAAAGTGATGCACCTCAAATTACTTTTCAGAGAATGGCTAAATGTGAACTTAGCCTAACAGAGAGGCCAGACAAATGGGAGATTCAATGGATCCACTTATAATGGGGCACACTTACCCTTTGGTTGTATAAAGTATACCTAAATGCCAACTTTTTTTTTTAGATTGGGATAGAGTGGAGAGAGATTAGAACACCTATTAGGTTTTTAGTGCTGTCCATGTGCCCATTAGGGAGATTCACCCTCTCTGTTTGTCCTGTTTAGCATTATCACTGAAAGTGAAAGTAAAAGAAAATATCAAATTTTAGTTTGTCCCCAGAAAAGTAAGTAGAAAAGTAATAAAGGGGAAAGCTTCCAATAGGGACACTAGTTCTGATGACCTGGGGGTCCCCAGGGGATTCCTTTCATTTTACATAGACATCCTCTCACTTCCTTTTCCTAACTATGGGACAGAAAGTGAAGGTAAATATCCCCAATGGGATAGAGATGGCAAAAAAAAGAAAAATCTAACCCTCTAAAAAAAAAAAAGGTTTTACCTATAGTTCTACTTTAAGTGTTTTCAGAAGCTGTGGATTTGATAATGATCTTCCAATGCATTTTCCATAATAAAAATAAATTAAACTCAGCATGGTGTGTAGAGCTATCACATAATGGCCACAGCTGGTAAGGAAACCCATGAAGTCAAGTGCAGATATCCCATCAAAAGAATCCCTGAGAGATATTAGGAAACTAGATAGTTTTACTCTTCACCATCCATAAAATTCATTTCCAATTTTGGGTGAACTGAGCCTTTAAAATTTTAATATTGTTCAGTGGGTTGTTCTTAAACAGTAATTTAAACTCAATACATCAGATGACTTATATAATAAATTTCACATTTAATTTTCAGAAACATAACAATTTTTTTCCAGCATGCGTTTCATGCCAAAATGGAATTTAGACTATCTGATGTGCGACTGGATTAAATCTGTTTGTTCTCTAATGTTATCTTTTAAGTTAACTCTGTCACAACATTTCAGAAAATTGTAGTCTCCAAGGAAACTAGAGTTTGTTATGCAAAATAAAAAAACCTCCCCAAATCTTATCTATTGCATTTCATGGTTGACTTGTACCGACAAACTTCCACATTAGGACGAGGTTCTTTCCTCCTATAATTGGGTTAACCTCATGTGAATTACAGCAGAGATAATGCACAGCTGTTCTACCATCATAATAGGCAGACATCTGTAATAACAAGATGTGCAATTCCAGATATTCAATATTCTTTACCAGCCCGTGTGAGAAATCACACACACATAATGACAGAACCGGATTTGACACATTAACACATTCTTGAAAGGTAATATTTTGTGTTTCTTTAAAAGGTGGGATTGCCATTAGGTATTAAGAAAAATCTTGTGAGCAGCTATTCCACATATAAAATACCAAAAAAAAAATTATATATTGTACTTTATAAATATTAGCAGATCACTTGCACCACACACATATCCATACAAATGTGCCAATGCTTATAACAGCCTTTCTCTACCAAGGTGCATTGAGGTTTCTTCAGGGGTGCCTTGGCATAATGTCTACAAATTGCCCAAAATTTGTACACAAGCCAAAGATGGAACAAGCCTGCCTTTTAGTTACACAAAGCCACAGGTTTTCATTGTGCACCATTACGATCTTCTAGTATCCAAGTCCTGACAACCAATTACATCATCATTTGTTAAGGAGGATGTCAGCTTCCTGCACAGCATTCTAGTTTAACCCTCCCCTGCCCTTCTCCATCAGTGCTGGGGTCACATAGTTTTCCTCATTTTAGAATGCAGTGCCCTTTTAAAATTATGGGCAGTCTGAAGGCCTCCAGACTTTCCATAATTTTAAAGGGTGCCTCGGGACTGTCCATAATTTTAAAGGGTACCTTGACTGAAAAAAGGTTGAGAAACACTGGCTTATAAATATCAAAACTGCCACACTCCACTTAAATCTAAAGTAAACAAACAACCAAATATGCACAAATCTTCCAACAAATTATTCAAGTGTCCACATCAAATCCGTGATTCTCTGTAATCACTGTAGTGTAGCAATCAAGTGCTCCTCAGTTCACCTCTTGTGATTTTATCAACACTTGTGCACCTCCACCAGTTGTGCTCTCACCTTGTATATATGACCAAACCGTTAAGTGAGGTCATATGAAGCATATGTCCCTTTAATTGGACTGTGATGAGATGGGATTGCTATCCAAAGGGTCTGGATCTCCTTCACTCCTCTAGTTGTCCTCCTTCCTTGATTCAAATGGCAAGAAAAATAATCAAAACATAGTGCTTTATCCTTATAAAAAGCATTTATTTAATATAAGCTGTATTCCACTCACATGTGTAATATAATAATGCGCTTTTTGCAAAGATCAATTGCTCCAAATTGCCGCTAGCAATTCTAGCATGCGCAGACAGCTGATACATTTCTCACTGTTTGTCGAGCTTCGTGACGTCAAAGCTTTAACCCTTTCATGACCAGTGCTCATTGATACCTAGATTTGTTGCAGGACAAATTTAAAAGTGTTAATATGCACTGGTTAACGTGGCTATATCTTGGACTATGCAGCACACCCAAATAATTTTTATATTATTTTTGTGAAAAAAATAAGGTTTTAATTTAGTATATTTGATTTTTTAAAGTATACAAAAGTACTCTGATTTTATTTAAAAAGGCTTATTGCAGGAATTTGCTGCACAAAATCGTACAACCAAAAAAAAAAAAAGATTAATTTGTGTGTGTGGGTATATATATATAGAATATATATATATATATATAATATATATATATTTATAATTTTTTTTGTTTTCTTTTTTTTCTTACTTGACTTTAAAACTGATGTTCATACAGGTGCTTTCCATCAGGTATTGAAAACACCTGTGGATGTCACCGAGCAGCAATCAAGCATAATAAGCACTAGGCAGCTTTAAAATGACTGTGATACTCAGCTCCTTCTAGACATTTACTGGTGTGGCAAACATGGTGAAGGCAAGAGAATTCACATTGCAGGATTTCATTTGCTATTCGGGAGGGCACTGTTGAAACGCTCTGATAGGCTCTCGGGAATCCAAAGTGTCAGTGTCAACTGCAAGACTGAGAGGCACTGCATCAAAACATGTGGACAAAACAAAAGTTGTGGGATAGTGTTCGTTTTAGACTGTTTGGGCCCATGGATCAACGCTATGTTTGGAGGAGGAAGAACAAGGCCTATGATGAAAAGAACACCTTGCCTACTGTGAAGAGTGGAGGGTCAAAGAGGTATAGGAAGCTTGTTGCAAGGTACCAACAGTACAGTATTGGTACGTGATGCATATATTGCATTCTGATAAATGTATGTGCAGAGGAAAGGTTAATACAGTAACTTTATAGACTTTTTCAGCATATTAATGTATTATTCTTCAAGCTATGCTTACGTTTTTTTAACTGTAAAAGACTAAGCTAAGATTGAATGTCCAGCAACACATTTGTGGGTTAGTTACATAGACCTACAAGGTTGTAAGCAAGGACAAACCTTATGGCCAAAAACATTTCATATGGCACTAGTGAGAGTTGTGAAAATAAACAAAGTTTAAAAAAAAAAATGGATCAGGCTCGTTGGCTTGGGTTTATGCTAGACTAAGATGTTTTTTAGCTTGTTTATGCTAGACAGTTTTTTAAAGCTAAATGTTGTTCACTTTAGAGTTATATCTTCTTTAACCTCTTGCCTACCGGGCACTTTTACCCTTTCCAGCCCAGGCCAATTTTCAGCTTTCAGCGCTGTCACACTTCGAATGACAATTGCGCAGTCATGCAACATTGTACCCATATTACATTTTTATCTTTTTTTTTTCACATAAATAGATCTTTCTTTTGGTGGTATTTAATCACCATTGGGTGTTTTATTTATTGCATTATAAATGAAAAAAAGCAAAATATTATTATTCTATTATAAAATTTTGCAAACAGGTAAATTTTCTCCTTCACTCATATGCTTTGATTAGGCTGCACTGATAGGCAGCACTGATAGGCACTGATGAGGTGGCACTGATCAGCAGCACTAATGGGCGCTGATAGGCTGCACTGATGAGGTGACACTGATGGGAATTGATGAGGAGGCACTGATGATGCTACACTGATATGCAGCACTGATGGGCACTGATAGGCAGCAATGATGGGCACTGATAGGCGGCGCTGATAGGTGGCACTGATGGGCACTGATGGGTGCCATTGCTGGGCACTTTTGGGGCTGCACTGATAATCAGTGCTCCTCTGTGACACTTGTCAGTTTTTGGCAGTACTTTCACAGCGTGAGGGAAAAGCTGTTGATAACCGGGAACTGTATTTCCCGGTTATCAGCAATGGACACAGGTGACATAGGTGATCATGTGGTAAAAGGCCACTGCGATTGGCCTTTTACCTTGTCATGTCATTAGCTGTGTTCGTAGGACACAGTGATCACAGACAGTGCCGGGGGCCGGGACAGTCTCCAGCTACATTTCATTTATCTGGCTGCAAAATCTTAGCAAGATGTCCATGAGCCACTCTTTGTGCACACCAGGCATCCCAAATACAGTACCCACCATGCCCATATGGGTAGCTTGTTCCACCTCCTTACTGATGTTGTGCATAGTAAAGCCATATATTTCAACAGTATACGGCTAAAATAGCCAAGCCTGGTCAAAAGTTTCTAAAATGTTTTGAAATGGCTGCTCATTATTTGAACAGTTAACCTATTCAGACAATGAAGAAGATCATTCAAAGTATGCCCAACAACTATTATATGAAGATGAAAAGAGTTCTAAGTACAGAAATCATTTCTGTGCATAAATAATTTGCAACTTCTGAGTACAGCTAGTGCAAAATCTGCCTTTGAGAAATCTGTCTACTTGCTGGACCAAGAATTCCTGCTAGAGTCGGATCCTTGACATTGTACATAACCTTCCTGCTGGGCTCACAACAAGTAATTACTTCAAGACCTCTCCATAAAAAACTTATTTCTACACTGCATAATCATACCTTGAATACCTTAAAGGATAGCTAAACAGCCAAAGCAAGTCAATGAGAAGCCACTAATATCATTCCTGAAGGAGGATTATTCTTCTGTTCATATTTGATGATCTGTCAGCAAGTCCATTTAAAGTTGAAATACGCTTGTAACTAAAATCATCGGGAAGCATGGCAAAGTTTGTAAATCACTGATTGAATGTCAGATTCACCTACGATTCACCCCACTTTTCTAGCTAATGATTTGCCTGTGGTATATTGACATTCACTGTGGTTTCTGACTGACAGCTTCATTGTAATAAAAAAAAAATACATGCCAAAATATGGATTTGGTAAAATTTGAAATATGGTCTGGCAAATTTGCCAGGTGGCAAATGGTTGGTAAAGTTGTGAGATCTCATTTCCCAGGAATTTTGGTGAAAGCCAGGAGATTTGGTTGAACTGTATTGGAGTCAATGCAAGATTAGAAATCACCACAAGGTGCCACAGTAGGTCAGATGAGTTAGTGTTGAGGCAAAGCATAGGTGTGTATGGACCCTCAAGGAATTTAAAGATAAATGCTTCGGGGCATTTTTATCTGAAATTTAATTTCTTCCTATTGCAGTCCAACGTTAGTTAAAAACCACTGTAGTACTGCTACAGGGTGGCAGGGCTGTACAAAATTAAGTATATATACGTGATTTGCATCTCCTGGTAGGGCACGTGCACATGACCTGCACCGCTATTGGCGGCTAGAGGATGTGTCAATCACCGGGTTCTGACCGGCACTTGGTGATAGTTGGGGAAAGCTGACAGGGGAGAGACGTGTATAAACAACACAGGTCTCTCTCCTGTCAGAATGGACATGCTGCTTTGTATTTCTCTGCACAGCAGAGATATACAAAACATCATGTCTCCCTAGTAAAACACAGCACACACAGTAAAACACACACAGCACACTATTAACCCTTTGATCGCCCCAGATGTTAACCCGTTCCTGCCCAGTGTCATTAGTACAGTGTCAATGCTTTTTATTAGCACTGATCACTGTATTAGTGGCATTGGGATGTCAGTAGCAATTAGTTCCCACCCAGTGTCAGAATGCCCTTTGCAGTCCCGCTTATAAGTTGCTGATCGCCGCCATTACTAGTATAAATAAATAAAATTTAAATTCCAGTATATACACCGCCATTTCTAGATGCTATAACTTTCATGTAAACCAATTAATTTACACGTATTGGGATTTTTTTTAGTAAAGACATGTAGCAGAATATATTTATGACTGATATTTATGATGAAACTTGATTTTTTAATTTTTTTTATTGGCCATGCTTCTGTTTATAGAGCAAAAAATAAAAAACACAGAGGTGATCAAATACCACAGAAAGAAATCTCTATTTGTGGGAAAAAAAGGACATACATTTAATTTGGGTGCTACACTGCATGACTGTGCAATTGTCAGTTAAAGTAATGCAGAGCCGTATCGCAAAAAATGTACTGGTCAGGAAGGGGGGTAAATCCTCTGGAGGGCAAGTGGTTAAAAGACAAGTGCATGTTTACAAAACAATCGTACCAGAGGTGGACTGACAACTTATGGGGCCCCCGGGAAATAGGGGATCATGGGGCCCCTGTGTCCTTGCCCAAACTCAAAAAAGCCTATGAAAAAGGTACCAGGGGCATCTCATGGGGCCCCCTACTGACCCCGGGCTCTCGGGCAGTGCCTGAGTTTCCAAATGGTCAGTCCGCCCCTGAATCTTACTCACCTAGGTGGATGCAGCATCATTCCAATGCTGCATTTGTCTCCTGCTGCCAATCATTTGGAGAATCAAGGGATCAAAGACCACTGATTGCTTTGCTCTTGGTCTGTCAGTGACAGGCTCTCTGGTCTGCCCCTCCAGTAGTCATTGCAGTGCTGGGCTGTGGAGGGGATGAGAGTGCCTGGCTCAGCCTCCCATGCTGAGAAGCTGAGCCATCTGCCAATCAGACATCTGGGTGGATCCCAACATTATTGTCAGGATCCCTGCAGAGCCTGGACTAGCTCTATGATGTCAGGCGAAAGTGGCTGTTGCCTGAATCTAGGTCACAGGAGTGCACTCCTGTGATAAATAGGAGAAGTATGGCCAAAAGTGCTTTGGCCATACTTCTCCTTTAATATTCACTCAATGAAGTTGACTTACTATGAGCAAATAGACTGTTCACTTTGCAAGGGAATAATCCCAAGAGTTTAGTGATTGAGGTGAAGCTTAGTTGACTTCCATCATCCAATCATGTGTAAGCAAAAATGATGTTTTTTATTTTCCTTGTGATTCTCCTTGTGATAGGATATCCTTTGCAAAGTGAAATTTCACTACATTGACTAAGCTCTGGGTAAAATACCCCTGCAAAGGGTAACTTTCCTGACACAGCAAACAGCCTGTTTGCTTCTAGCAAATCAACCTCAATACCTTTATTGCATTCACTGGCATCTAATCTTTGCAACATGTACCAGCCATCTTTATACACACCGTATCTGTTGCTGGCAACATAAACCAACTGCCCCCCATCCTTCTAAGCAGGTGTTGCCAGTTTAGCCGCACAGGGGGAAAAATCCCTTCTGAAAATGTAAATATAATTAATTCTCTAAATCCAAAATTACTGTAGTCTTTAGTAACTATTACAGTAGCTAAAATTAGCTCCAAGGAAAGCATTCAGTCTATTTTTATACCTCATTTCACGTTCATTTTGCAGTTATTCATCAGTAGGGCATTCTACAGTTTAACCACTGTACAAAAAAAACTTCACAGACTGTCTCCATATCCCTTGTACAATTTTTAAAATAAAGATGATAATTTGCTCTCTAGAGTTTTGTGTATTTAGCTTTTCTATTTTTAGTATGAGCTTCAGAATTACCAGTTCTGAAGAATGGAGGTTGAGGGTTTGTGTTAGACAAATATAAACAATTCCTCACAAAGGGTTCAAGCCTGTCATATATGGTTTGAAATGTGTCTGGTTTAGCAAGGACCAGCTGAATTTTGGTCCAGGTATGGGCAGTGGCATATTTACCATGAGGCAAGAAAGGCGTTTGCCTTCGGCTGCAATTTTCAGTATATGTGACACAAGTGGCAGGGATGGGGACCTGGTGAGGCACTGCCATGGGAGGCTGAGGCTGGGTGCTTCTGGAGACAGTGTGGATAGATGACTGCGTCTTCTTTCACTTTAGGTGAAAAGTCAGAGCTTGAATCGGGTGGTTGCAGTGGGTGGTGGTGGTAGCTGAGCAGTTGTGGTGGGTGGTAGAAGTTGGTGTTGCGGTGAGCAGTGGTGGCAAACAGTGGTTCCCAGGGCGTAGGGGGTTGTGGTGGGTGGTGATGGCAGATGGTGGTTCCTGGGGGGGATGTTGTGGTGGGCGGAGGTTGGTTACCAGGTGGGGAGGTGCTGATGGGTACAATAAATAAATACACTACTGAGTGGGTGCACAGAAGCCAATCTACTGATCAACTTCAGTACAACCACCCTGTTGGACTTTTGCTACTTGATCAGCACCACCAGCTATAGCCTACAGTGTAATTGCACAATGTAAAGGCCCCCCCCCCCCGCACTCAGAATACAACAGCACTGTGTGGATGGGGGAATGGGGTCATTGTTTTTTTCAACCGCTAGTACGAATGTAAACTTCATACAACGTCTACCCAAGAGTCACACATTTTCCCAAATTAATCCAATTGGTAAAAAATGAATCTCGGGTTAAAAGTGCGTGAAAACATCTTAAAATATTTTCCTAAGTAAGTGGCAAAAAATTAAGCTCAAATCCTTTCAATATTTAAGCAGTCATAGCACCAGTTTTTTTTTCTTTTGATAAAAAGTTTTAAATCATATGAATAAAAGTTATTTTTTAAAGCAACCCTACACTGCTATATAGCTGGTCCAACTTCTTAACTGTCAATTTACTGGACAACTTGGTTTGCCTTAACCACTTCAATACTGGGCAATTTTACACTCTTCCCTCCCAAGCCAATTTTCAGCTTTCAGCGCTTTCACAATTTGAATGACAACTGCACGGTCATGCAACAATTTTTATCATTTTTTTCACACAACTAGGGCTTTCTTTTGGTGGTATTTAATCACCACTGCGGTTTTTATTTTTTGCTAAATTAACAAAAAAAACCACAATTTTGAAAAAAAACCACCCTTTTCTTTGTTTCTGTTTGCAAATAATAATTGTTCTTCATAAATTTAGGCCAATATGTATTCTGCTACATTTCTTTGCTGAAAATAACCCAAATCAGTGTTTATTATTTAGTCTGTAGGAAAGTTATAGAGTCCACAAATTATGGTACAGTTGCAAGAAAAAGTATGTGAACCCCTTGGGATTACGTGGAGTTTTGCATGAATTGGGTATAAAATGTGCTCTGA